TCCTCAAAACATTCTGATCAGAGGCCTTGCTGTTGGATATAGTTTATCGTTTTACCAAGGACAGGGACAGCAATTATGAGGTCGTTCCACGTTCCTCAAAACCTTCAGGATCAGAGGCCTTGCTGTTGGATATAATTTATCGTCTTACCCAGGACAGCAACAGCAATTAAAAGGTGGTTCAACGTTCCTCAAAACCTCCACTCTCCCAAAGGGCTTTGCCGCCTGATGTAGCTTATCACGGAAAATAGCAGAAATTTCTATTAAGCCTCGGCAGACATTTTCCTTTCTTAACCATTGGGCCAAAATACAAAATTCTTGAGTGATAAATCTTTTCACTATATCATACGTAGATATCTAGTCGTCAATGCGTAAATATTGTTAATTAATCATCCGAACAATGTTTAAGAAATAATAAATTCACTTGGGAATGAAAAACAAATGAATAACCATTTTAAGAATATCAAACAAGGAATCTTTTGTCACTGTTTTCTGATTTTGGTTCGTACTGTAAAGATCGGTGCCGGGGGAATTCTATGTAAAAGAGAAACCATTGAATAATTTAAAGACATATTCTTACTTACTATTCAGGCAGATGATAAACACAGACATTAAAAAGTAAAAGTAACTAAAAATAAAATACATCAAAACTGGCAAAAAACTAATTATATTAGGGATGCTCCGAAACTAATGCCTCTAGTTGATTTTCCCGGAAAATAAATCAGCTATCGAGTGTATGATAAGACCGCTGGATAGAGCATGTATTGAGTTGGATAGAGCTACTAACCAGTATTAGTCACTACCATGGGTTATGCTTTTTCGAGGCGTGGTTACAAAATGCGCACGCAAGCCAAAAATGGGAAAACCCTATCGTATGTGTTAGAACTATGTTGATCGGTTTCGAACCCCTCGGGTATGGAATACTGAGAGATCGATTATATTTATTCCGAATTTTAATATAAGACCTGCGAAAACAGTCGGTTTGGATGGCGAGACATAAGCTTAGTTAATTATTTGAACTTTCCTCTCCCAATTACTCTGTGTGACATGGCTTTCAGGGGATAGAGAGAGAGAGAGACTGATATGTATGCCCTTGTGCAAATTGATTGAAAGAAAACGAATAATTCCGTTTCAATGAAACATGACCCAGTGCACATGTTAGTACTTCGTATGTCCATTCCACGAAGTCGTTCCTTGCAGATTGACCACAAATTCACGATTGAAATTAAATCAGGAGAGTTTCCGGGTAAGTCTATAGTAGTTTGATTTGTTCACTTGTAAGGCTTGCCAGTTTGTCCGTGCAGCGTTACAATATTCGTACGCTTCCTTGGAGTAACGTCCATCGCAGACAATGGCCGTTGGACAACTAATCGACAGTCGAGACAATAGTGTCTGCGCGTGATAAAAACCTGATGCAATCATGGATGACGCAATATTTTTTCAAGGCCAAATAAATTTCATCATACACCCCGAAAATAAATTCATATTACTGCACACCACTGCAAATGACCTAAACTAAAAAAAACAGAAATCGATTACACCCCATCACACCGGTGGGTCTAAAACTGATCGTATGGTGAAAGAAAGGATAATAAAGCGGTTGTTTTCAATTAATTCGGGGAGGGTGTACCTAGCTAAGCTGTTCATATCCATTCTCTTTGTCTCCCTCTTTCTTCCTCCAAGTAATGGTGCTATTACTACGATTTATCCCAGGATTTAAAATGAAAAACAAAGGCAAATAGTCTTTCATTCCGTCTGTGATCTGTCGTTTGGATTTCTGAACCAGGAATTGCCATTACGCCACTAGAATAGACCGCGACGGCACGAAACACAACAGTGTTCTTTAGTTCATCGGTTGAAAGCTCTGGAGTTCCGCCGGAAACGGGCCTTGTTTCAAACATCACTCTCGTTGCTGCTGAAACACACAAGGATTATCAATCTGATTTCGTAGACCATTCTTACTTCTCTGAGTTGATATTCATTTGTTCACCTTATCGTAGAGCAGAGATTGTCAAGCAGATCTCGCAGACAATTCCTACTGCTGTGAGTCACTCTCAAGTCCATATACCAGTACTGGATCAGCTCAGCTTTGTTGACATTTGTTTACCTCAACAATTAACAAGCTGATCTCGCTGATCATTCCTATTGGAACTGGTAAATCGTGCCAAACTGGCAATATATATATATATACTAGCAATATATATACATATATATATATATACTAGCAATATATATACATATATATATATATACTAGCAATATATATACATATATATATATATATACTAGCAATATATATATATATATATATATATAGCAATATATATATATATATATATATATATATATAATATATATATATATATATATATATATATATACTACAATATATATATATATATATATATATATATATATATATATATATATATATATATATAATATATATATATATATATATATATATATATATATATATATATATATATATATATATATATATATATATATAATATATATATATATATATATATATATATATATATATATATATATATATATATATATATATATATATATATACATATATATATATATATATATATATATATATATATATATATATATATACTAGCAATATATATATATATATATACATATATATATATATATATATATATATATATATATATATATATATATACATATATATATATATATATATATGTATATATATATATATATATATATATATAGCTATATATATATATATATATATATATATATATATATATATATATATATATATATATATATATATATATATATATATATATATATATATATATATATATATATAAAAGAACAGGGTCTGGTGCCGATTTGTAAAATCTTTCAATTTAAATATTTGAACCAACTCGTAAGATTTTCATTTCGAATATTTAAGCCGATTAGTAAAATTGTAAAAAGATGTCTGAGCCAGCATGTAAATTTTGCAATAGAACTATTTGAGCCGACACACATAAAATTTAATTAGAACTGACTATTTTGCTAAATTCTATTACAAAAATAAGAGGCGAAAACCGTGTCTGCTGCTTAAAAAAAGTCAGTCAATGTATGATAGATATCCTGATCGAAGATAACCTTTTTCTACGATTTCTTTTTCATGTTCTTTTACTAATAATATCATGTTTCAAAAGGAAGCAGTTTAATTAAAAAGTGTTTTTCCGTTTTCAAATCGAAAAGTCAGAGATAAGAAATTAATGTCACATATTCAGCGATAGCATGTGTTAATTAACTGCTGATGAAATAAGTGCTAATTAAAAGTCGGAAAAATTAGCAAAAATTACACGTGTTGAACCTGCTGTAAGCTCCATCCAAATTTACGCAGATCACACTTTGAAGGCATCCCCTTGCAACGTTAGGATTTTGCGTTCACTTCAACTTTTTTCGATATTAAGCTAAGCCAAATAGGGAGAAATTGATGTAAAATGATTGTTACACTAGACTTCTAACTTCGAAATATCAACACTGGAGGATTACGGCCACATGGCATTGAAATACTGGTTCCGGTACGATCACCGAAATTAAGCAACGTCAAGTATGGCCAGTATCTAGATGGGTAAACACTTGGCAATACCAGGTGCTGAAAGCTTAGATGTGGGGTTCGTGCAATGGATAATGGCTCAGAATTGCTAATCGGAGAGACGAGTTTTAATTCCAGTTGGGTTCGTTATATTCACTTACGCACAAATACCCTCAGGAAAGGCAAGAATCCACATCTTCTCCTCCAGCTATGGGTTAATTAGTAAGACTTGTATCACTAAGAAAAAACTTATCTCCAAAGAAAGATAGATAGATTTCCGTAAAATCAACAAATCAACATGGAAAATGCTAATAACCTACGAAGTCTCCATCTAGTAAACTAGTGGGAAATGTATATTATTTTTTACTGTTAAATTATTTTCTTAATCTGGCTGCAAACGTGACAAACTCTTCTAAGAAGGATCAAAGAGCATTATCTGTCGGATCACAGTACAATGTTACTATGGATGTCACATATCCACTGAGATTTCTCTTGTACATTCTTCAATCCACAATTATATTTCAATTCTTTACACAGAAGGAGATCTAATTTCTAGAGAATCTGCTTCTAAGAAAGACGGTTCATTGTGTCGTTCTAGACAGTTTTTCTCTCCAGAATCTATCTTGTCTATTTTTAAGTCTGCCATTCGTCCATGCTTTGAATATTGCTGGTCCGGTACTCGGGCTGTAAATTTAGACATTCTTGGTAGAGTCCAAAAGAAGAATCAGCAATATTATTGGTTGTGATCTGGCGTCATGGCTTCAGTCAATCTCCAACCGCTTCCCTATGCCTTTTCTATAAATACTTTCATGATAATTGTTCTGATGAGCTTTCCTCTTTCGTACACTCTTGATCGTACAACGGCCGAAACGTCCTGATAAATATGGCAACAAAGACGAGGACGGTTGTCCTAACAAAGTAGTATAACAAGAGGTGTTTGTGTTTATTATGTGCTTGTTGAGAGAAACCTAATTACCTACTACATAAATATTTCTATAAATCTCAAATCCACATCTGTACATGAACGATCCTTATAAGTGGGGCTGATAAGCTTCAGGTCCCTAACATTTTGATGAAAGTGATAACTTGATTTCTTTCCTTCAATTTATGACAAACTAAGCGCCGTCGTTTCTCTAAAAATCATTGCTGATATTAGTGCTGAAAATAAGAAAACCTTAATTTCTGTCTGAATTTCAGGGATGAGGAATTATCATTATTTACACTATTTACATTTCTGGGCTGTATCTATGGGAGATAATTCTTCTATACCCTGTATATCTACTACTAAAAGTGAGGGCCATAAAAAAAAAAAAAAAAAGAAAGAAAAATTAGTCTAAAAAATGACGTTGCGAGAGATTTCTCATGGGCGCTGCCATTTTGATTTCAATCACCTACTCTGCAGTATAGAGGATTACCACCATATCACATTGAAACATCGATTCTCATATAATCACCGAAGTTAAGCAACATCTAGCCTGGTCAGTACCTAGATGGGTAACCACTTGGAAATACCAGGTGCTGTAAGCTTGGATGTGCAGTTGGCATGGCTTGCGGCCATATTACGTTGAAACACTATTTCCCGTACGATCACCGAAGTTAAGCAACATCGAACCTGGTCAGTACCAAAATGGGTGACCACTTGGGAATATTCTGTAAGCTTGTATGTGCAGGTAGTGTAATGAATAATGGCTCCGAATTGTTAACCGAAACGTGAAAATAGCAACAAAGATGTGGACAATATTCCGCTAGGTAGGTTTTAACCCAAACACTAAGTGTCGACATTTCACGGAATATAAAGAAGTTACGAAAGAGAGTAGGTAAGAAAGAGAGAGGAAATGTAGGAAAGAAAGAGAGCCAGGGTTAAAAGAGGAAAGAAGGAGAGCCAGGGTTCAAAGAGGAAAGAAGGAGAGCCAGGGTTAAAAGAGGAAAGAAGGAGAGCCAGGGTTAAAAGAGGAAAGAAGGAGAGCCAGGGTTAAAAGAGGAAAGAAGGAGAGCCAGGGTTAAAAGAGGAAAGAAGGAGAGCCAGGGTTAAAAGAGGAAAGAAGGAGAGCCAGGGTTAAAAGAGGAAAGAAGGAGAGCCAGGGTTAAAAGAGGAAAGAAGGAGAGGCGAATTAAAGTAGGAAGAAAAGAGAGGTAAATTAGAACAGGAAAGAAAAAGTGTGGAATTAGTGCAGGAAAGAAAAAGTGTGGAATTAGTGCAGGAAAGAAAGAGGGGTAAAAAAAAGAGCTGAATTAAAGTAACAAAAAAAGAGGTTTGAATTATAGTAAAAAAGAAAAAATGGTGAATTAGAACGGGAAAGAAAAAGAGGGAAATTAAAGTTGAAAAGAAAAATAAATTAGAACGGGAAAGAAAGAAAGGCAAATTAGAGCCGGGAAGAAATAGAGATTAATTAGAGCCGGGAAGAGAGAGAGCTGAATGAATGCCGGAAAGAAAGATGGAGGCCTTTAATATTGGCTTCATCGAAGGAACTGGATTCGAACTCGTGTTATTGGTTATCAGAAGCCGATTATTTCTTTTTAAATTACAGATCCATGCTGTACACTTAATAATTGTGCATTACAATAAATAGCAAAAACAAAGTGAAAAATTAATTAATAATGACAATACGTCATCTAAGATATTTTGTCTAACTTAAGAGAAATCCTGCTTTTCAGTTGGTGATTAATTGCAAAGCTTTTAATGGGTTTTTCTTCATAATTATCTCATTAATTCTGATTTAAAAAAATATCGTTTTAATAAAAGAGTTTATAAACGAAGACAGGTTTTAAATAATTAAAAAGTTTGGTAAAGTAAGGGACAAGGCTAAATAGAAGAGGGATTTTGAGAACAGGAAAGAAAGAATAAGAGTTATGAGAAAAAAAGAGGGTGGAGAGGAGAACAGGAGTGAAAGACGAGGAATGTCTGAAAAGAAAAGGGTGAAAATGAGAGCAAGAAGGAAAGAGAGAATAAAGAGTTAAAAGAAAGGTGGAGGGAGAACGTGAAAGAAAGAGAGACGGGGATAAGTGCAGGAATAAAAAACAAAATATGGGCAGGAAATAGAGAGGGAGTGATAAATAACAGAATAAAGAGAGAGGGGGAATGAGTGCAGAAAAAGGTGGGTAGGAAAAGAAAAGGGAAAATGAGTGCATGAAAGAGAGAGAGATGGTAAGTGCAAGAAAGAAATGAGAAAAAAGAGAGGGTGTGAATGAGGACAGGAATGAAAGAGAGGATGGAAAATAATACAGCAATATAAGAGGGGATAAAAGGAGGGAAAAAGAGAGGGAATGAGAGAGAGAGAGTGTGTGAAATGCGAGAAGAGAGAGAGATTAGGAATGGGCACAGGAAAGAGTAAGGGTTAATGAGGAGAGGAAAGAAAGTGATCTCAAGAATGAAGACATAAAGAAAGAAAGCGAACGAGGAAATGAAATATAAAGAGGGTAGAGATGAGAACAAGGAAGGAAGAGAGAGATGCAATGCAAGAAAGAGGGGTGAATTAAAGCAGCATATATTTTTGAAGGAGAAGAATATTACCAGCAATACATTTTTGAAAAAAAAATATTACCAGCAATAAAAAATCTTGTCGGCAAGCGTTTTCTGTCAGTTCTGATCTTCATCTTGGGCTTATGCTCAAAGAATCGGATCAGATCCTGATGAGAAAGACAGTTGCCTCGCGAGACTTCCTCCTGTCGTGTCGTCCAAATCACCATTCAGGCCGTGGTCTGTAGCGTTAGAAACACCATTTTTTTCACCCCAGAGTACGGGGGCGACACATTGTTACACGCGTATGCAGGATCAATGAGCACAAGTTTTTCGGGAGCGAGACGAGCCGACATGGTCCCATAGGTGACAGACCCTAGGACAATGGTAGAAGGCGTGCGAAGCCGTTTCCTCTAAGCCAAGGTCACATCGTTCACAGTCTGGCAAATCCGACAAGCCCTATATGAAGGCCTTGTCATTGAGAGATAGCTTATTCCGAGCCGGTCACCAGGTAAGCGAAAACTCAGGCTTACTGAGGTAATCCACCGCTGGCGCCCAGGACCAGAAGGAGAGAAGCCCCTCCTCCGACAAGCCGAGCCGCTCACGTAGTGGATCCTTCGCGACCCCCTCCTCTAGATGACGATAGAAAATCTTCCTAGGCTGAGAAATGTCACTGGACCGAGGAAGAGCCAACAAGGCAGACCGATATTTACGAAGGAAATCCGATTGATCCTCCAAGTTGATGCCCAGGACTGCAATATTTGACTACGGTAAGACTATTAGTATTTCTCAGAAGTTGGGGGTCGTATTATACACGAGCTACAGTTGTGGACAGAATTATTCACCCTCACTGAATATTTGCAAAAGGACAATGTTGAACTGAACCCTTTATTTCGCTCACTGGGGTAGACTGTTCTAGTTCCTCGTGCCATGTCAGCGAGCAGTTATCCCCTGTTAATTTCTCTCTTCAAGTTCACCACCGCCTTAACCGGGTATTGAATTCACAGTCTTTGGGTCCTGTAACTGGATCTAACTAACGCCTTTATCCACTGTGCAATCTGTCCTTGAGGACATCTGTGTATGAATTTCACTGGGGTAGAACAGTCTACCCCAGTAAGCGAAATAAATGATTCAGTTCGACAGCCCAACAATCTGAAGAAGGCCGGAGCGTACAACGGCCGAAACGTTGTAATAAACATGGCGACGAAGATGAGGACAATAGTCCGAATAATGTAAATAGTGTACATAATACCTCATCTCAGAAATATAGACAGATACTAACTTTGGCATCATTAAATAAATAATAGCCTTAAAAATGATTATACCTCCATGATCATCGGTTTGCGGTCTGATGGGGGGGGTCGTTTATTACGTTCTATTTTTTATCAAATTAAATTGAGTCTTTTCATATACAATTGTAGACAGAATTATTCACATCCATTGAATATTTGCATATTTTCTAAGGAAATACGACTATTTGCAAGTATTTACTGAAATTACCATAAATATCTGATTCCATCTTTAGTTTTGAATCATTCGTGAATTTTTTAGAGCTTTCGATCTATTATATTCATAGTTATAGATTTTCTAAAAATCGATGAAACCCAAATTATCTCCCCATCGCCCGATGGAAATTATGAAATAATATTTGCTCCATGGCAATTGTAATGAGTTTGTTTGTTTTTTCTTCTTAATTTAACATTTAATGCAAAAACCCTTTTAAAATGAAATAGTATTGACCTGATTCTATAACATTCTAAAAGGTAATGAAGAAGACAATATGTGAGTGTCACTTACTGCGATAACTCATTCCTTCTTCAAACATGGCGAAGACGGCTGGACCTGACAAGAAGCTCTGAATGAAGATAGTTGATGAGTACAAACAAGATGATGGATATACAACACTTTCCAAGCGTTTAAATGTTCCTAGATTGACAATTCGTAACATTATCAAGTACAATAAGACTCATTGTGTTGCAAATAAATTAAAGAATGGAAGACAAATGGTTAATTTCTGAGAGAATGGAAAGGAAAACTGTTAGCGATATCTCGAACAATCCACACTTAATGACAAAGTAAATTGTCAATGATGTAAAGACATCAGGGTTGAATGTACCAATAAAGAGAGTAACTACGGTAATTCCCCATGTATAATACGCCTTCATCCATAATACGCACCCCTAAAATTGTGCTGAAAGTATGGGGAAAATGCTTCTACTCATGCATAATACACACCCCTTGTTTGTACCTCTCATAAATTGTACATCTCCAGTTTCATTTCGGCCAGCGTCTCCTGCTCTTATTTAAAAAAAATGGTTTTAAACATAGAATAATATTATTCTAATTTAGTTTTATGATAATTCTTATTTTATTTTACAGCAATTTTTTAAAGATTTTTTTGTGGCGTGCATAATACGCAGCCCTGATTTTACTTATTATTTTTTACAAAAAAATGCGTATTATACAAGGGGAATTACAGTACATGCTTTTATCGAGCAGGACATCGTGGTTGCCGCGCAGGGAAAACTCCCTTGCTTAAAATCTAAACTGCAGATTAGCTTATGCCAGAAACCATGTAGAAAATGAGAGTAAATATTGGGCCTCTGGTCATATGAAAAGAAAATAGAAATATTTGGTCACATGATCTCCCGCAATGTATAGAGGAAAGGGAATGCAGCTCACAAGCCAACAAAATACCCTCCCTACAATTAAGCACGGTAGTGGCAGCATTTTGGGGATGTTTTGCTGTTTCTGGACCAGGATAACTCGTGAGAATACAGGGTATCATAGGTAATAAACAGTAATTGGCTATTCTTAAAAAATAATATAAAACAGAGTGCACGAAAGTTGTCCTTGGAGCCTCATTGGACGTTCCAAAATGACCCGAAAAACGTGGCACGATTTGCTACAAAACGCTTAAATGACAGAAAAATTAAGATATTGAAGTACCCAGGATCTAGACCTCATGGAAAAATTATGGACATATTTGAAAAAGAAATGTAAGAGAAAGAATTCCTTCAAATTTCGAGGAACTAGAATCTATTACCAAGCAAGTATGAATCAAAATACTTATCAGGGAGTATAGTGATCCTGTAAGGCACTATCGAAAATGATTAAAAACAATAATCAAGAATAAAAAAAATACACAATTGATTATTGAGGCAAGAGGGCCAATAATTTTGTTTTATATTAAATG